TTCCCCTGAAGGCCAGGCACAGAACTGAGCACTTCTGCCCTCTGAGAAGAATATTGCAGCTTTAAGCCGTCAGGTTGCTTTACTACTAAGTACATGTTCTGTAGTTCTTTTTAACTCATGGTTGAGATACTAGTTACTTCTGCATAATTTGTGCTGTGGAAACTGTGCTTCACACAAATTCCTCAAAGTTAAAAAAAAACCTAAAAAAAAAAGGACTGTTCGGTTCACTTTTTGCACAGAATATGAATAAACTACCCTCTGAGGAAGATTTGTAAGGTTTTCTTGTGGCTTTAAAGGGACTGACAAGTCCCCCTTTGTTAAAAGGGAGCACGGCGTCCTAGCAGCTGTTTACTGTGGTGTTCAGTCATCTGAAAAGTGACCAAACGTGAGTTCACCTAAAAGTAATCTTTTGGGTGTAAATACCTTGATTTTGGCTGGCATCATAAAGGTCTTCATAAAGACATGATAAGCAGTTTGAAAAGTCTATACTGTAATTTAGATAAAGTTATTCTAATAGCATTAATATTTTTACACTGTAAGTAGGATAGAATCTAAACTGTCAATTGGAAATGAAAATTATGATGGTTATACCTGAGGCAAATGTATCTGTGTGCAAAATTTTTGGACATAACTTCTCATAGTAAAGAGTTGAATGTATGAATAGTGAAGCAAGTGTTATTTACCATTATCTGGGGGGAAAAGTGGGGTTTTTTTGCCCATACACACAACATGGATCCCGTTGTGTTTGCGTCTCTAAACAAAGCTGACGTCAGGAATGGCTTTGATACTGCAGATTCCCAAATGATGGATTTTTCTGCTCTTTCGGTGGCACTTTTCCAGCCGTCACATCATAACCCAGTAAATTCCAACTGAGGCACTGAAATACCTTTCTAAGAACTCGATTAACTCTCTTTGACAGTCAGTTTGCAGTGCTCCTCGCAGATTTCATGGATGCCGCTCCCCACAAATGTCAGACACTCTCCAGGGTCTCTTCTGGCACAGGGTCTGGTGGGACGGATGCGGTTTGTTACTGAATCTTCTAGTGTCTGTGAGTACCTGTTGCAGGGAGTAGAGGCGTGTGTGCCTGTGTGGAGTGCAGAACCGCACTGTTGCGCCTGAAGTGTTTGTGTGGATTTGAAGGCTCATTTGCAGACTAATAACTGTGTGCTAAAAAGTCAACAAAGGCTTCTAATCAGTCGTCTTGTCGCTGGGCTTAGAAAGCATTTGGAATTAATACATGTAAAAATGTGGGGCTTGTATTTGAAATAAAGGGTGATTATTTGGTTGATTTGGGAATGTTCCTGGTTTGAAAAGAAGTGTTCATTAAAGGGCTTTATGAAAAACCTTGATGGATAAAGGAGGTTAATGAATGAATCCGTGTTGGGAGATCAAACCTCTTCTCCCCAATGCTTTTTGTTTGATCCTACCCCCACCCGAAGGGACCCTGATCAGCATTCGTGCTTCTGTTTAGGATTTGTAGGACAAGGTTGCTATATAGTTGGCAATATAAGATCTGCAGTACCGTAAATAAATTCACTTATTTAATCTTATAACCAGTCTTTTTACTGGACTTAATGGATTATTTGGTGCATATATTTAATCTTATTGTGTGAAAAAGCTGCTATGGAAAATATGTAGATTATAATAAATATGTAAATGTAATTGATTTTTCATGTTATGAAAATGTTAAGGAGGAACTGATATATTTTAGTATCAAATAATGGATATATGCAGAATTATCTCTGATAAAGCTTTACTGGAAATAGTTTCAGTGTGGGCAACCCCTCCATGCTTTTTATTTGTGTTGGTTTTGAGAGGGAGTTTTGTGTTGAAAAATGCATCTAATTAACCTTGCAGCCTTCCCTTCACCATCTCCTTGTCCTCTGGCAGCGGGAGCAAGCGTTCTACGTTGCTCTCTGAAGTGGTTTGCTCGTGTACAGCCGAAGGGAAAGACTTCCAAATCCTCCTGAACACCTCTAATGACATGAACTGTAGATATGGCAATGGACTGTAAAATGAAAACAGTGGATTGGAGTATTTAAACCCCCAGACACAGGCTTGTATGTCTCCTGATGCTAAATATGTTCTCAAGCTTTTCGTTCTGTGTGGTTCCTCTTGCTCTAAGGGAAAAAAATTGTGGTTAAAGAATTCTCATTTCTGCAATTCCTGGCAAAGTTGCAGTTTTGGAACTCAACCAAATAGAATTGTGCAAAGGCAATTATTGCGAAGCTGTAAATGAAGTGAGTAAATCCATAATACAGGACACATTCTCTTCCACTTCTTAGATTTCAGCTTTATTCTTGCCAGTACACCAGCACCTGCTTTAAACCTGTCCAGCAACCCCTTACCTCAGTGTTAGAACACAAGGGGTTTTTGATAACTGTCGATGCCATGCTTCACGTGAACGTGAATATTTTTATCCCTGCTTTTTAGGCTGTTATTTTACATCTTCACCTGATCTTTAGGCACTGGTGGCCAGAGCAGAGGAACGGCATTTGGGGAACACCCCGTATTGGGTGTGCAGTCGACAGCGAGTGTTGGTGTGGCCTCAGCCCCAGCCCTTCCGAGCGTGCCTGAGCGAGGGCCTTGCTGTCCTGTGCATCTCTGGGACCAGGCAGTGCGCTGCTCCTGGAAAGGCACAACATTTTTTTCCTATCCTATACTGATTTTTAGGAGCTTTTGCATATAGAAGTGTGATATAAATGCCTTCATTACACTGAACAACCAACTAGAATCTTTCATTTGTAGTTTTGGAAGTCCTTTCTTTGACTGGTCTTAAGATGACTGAGAAGGAAGAGTCAGTTCCTCACTGGATGGTGAAAATGAGAGCAGAAGTAAATTTTTAGGTGATGTGACAGTTTCAGATGAATTCTCAATGGCTTGTCCTGCAGTGCTGTGTTCCTGAAGCTCCCCAAATCTACACAGGGAGCAAAGTCTGGTCCCCACTTCTGATTGAGTAACTCATCTAGTTGGGACTGTTGTCACTGTAAACCTAGCCACTTGTTTCCCAAATAATTGGATGCACAACCTTTTCCTATTTTTACTTTTTTTAATTATGTTTTTTTCCAAAGCTTTCATTGGAAACAAGGAAAGGTAACAGCTTTATCACTTCTGAAGGAGGAAATAATTCTGGAAGTCCTTATAACAGTGTTGGGTTACGAAATCCCTCGGAGCAGTACAGGAGAAAGACACTGAGGCAAAACTGAGCCATATCCTGGGTGACATCTGCAAGTCCTTGGTGCCCTGTGTCTCTCCTGGCAACTGGATGTTTGAAACCAGTGGTGATGCTTTCAGTTTGAATACATAAGCGGTTGTTGGTGTGTCCACTGCTGAGTTGAGGGAAGCAGTTTAAAGAAACACTCAAAGCAAAAAATGAAGCCCTTTCTCACAAAATATCCCAGTCCAGACCCTTGTAAATGAGTTTCTGATTGCACTTTCTGAATTTTTGCTTTTCATATGGCTTCTCGAAACTTATTTTATTGTAACTGTAATTATTTTTGTTCTCGCCTATTGTGCATTCTCTGTATGTATTAAAAAAAAAAAAAGCTTTGATATGTAATTTAATAATAAATTAGAATTCTAAGCAGGGTGCTTGGTTCTTTCCCCATGACAATCTTTGCTTACCTAAACTTCAGGGAAGCTGCAGAGACGATTCATCTCTCCAGTTTGGGATTGTCACCGAACATACGAATTGGTGCTTTCCCCATTTTTGTACCAAATACCAGATGTGAAGGAGCATTGTCTGACCCAAAATTCTTGGTTTGGTGGGATGTGTTTCCCCTGCCTGTGTGTGAGGCCTGGACTCCCCTTCTGTTTCCAGTATCTCCATTGGATTTCTGAACATAGTCACAGCCTTTGTCTTGCTGTTCTTTGACAGATGGAACAAGGATGGCTTTCTTTAGAGGTAAGCTTTACGTTTTCTATACACCTCTAGTAGAAAAAACATTTTATTCCCAAATGCACACCCAAACTGATGCGTCAACTGATGTCCAGCTGAAGAACCTTCTCGGCATAAGGTACCTCCCCCCTCTGAATCCACTTCTCAGTAATTTGGTAGCTTTTTTTTTTTCACCCCCTTTTCCAATCACAACACGAAACATCGAAAAGAAGCTGATATTTTGAACGTGGTACAAGCAACTGTAAAAGCCCTCTCCGTGAAGCTGTGTCGTACCCTGCAGTGCTCTAACGATGCTGTGGTCTGGACCACCTCCATCCTCAGGTCCTCAAAGCGGGCAGCGTTGTGCCTGAAGGACCCCTCTGCACCTGGCGCTTTTGCGCTTGGTGCTAAATCCGCTCAAATGTATTTTCTCAAACGAGAAGATGTGCCTGGCAGTGTGGTACCTGTCTATTTGCATAAGGCTCGGAGTGAGGAGACGTCATTCTCTTCATTCAGAGCTTTGTGCCTGGAGGACCCCTCTGCACCTGGTGCTTTTGTGCTTGGCAGTGTGGTACCTGTCTATTTGCATAAGGCTCGGAGTGAGGAGACGTCATTCTCTTCATTCAGAGCTGTCGTGCTGTGCCTGTAATGCTGCTTTAAAGCAGAGAGAGATTTCTGTATCCTTAATGTGCCTACTCAATATTCAGGAATGACCATCTGCTTTCTCAAGGGAAAAGGCTTGGCTGTGTGTTAAGAGAGAGAGAAGAAATTTCAAAACCTGTTTTGAAAACGGAAAGGCAGTTCTGCTTTCAGGTAGTGGGAAGTGCAGTTCGTTTTTCCAGTTGCGGTGCTGGCAATAAGTGGTGCATAAAATTCCATCTTCGTTTGGATTAGAAAATAAATTATTAATGGCGCTGAATCCTTTTTCCCAGCTCTCTGTACAGTCAATAATTTATAGTGGCACAGGCGTAAGATATATATTTTTAACCGTCCGCCTCCCAGAATCCTGTTGTTCGTATTGAAAACTGCTGTCCTTCCTGACAGGCTGGGGCGCAGT